CCCAAGAGGCCACACATTATAAGAGTGTGGCAAAGAACGAATCAAAATCAAGGTTAACATCAGCTTGGCCTGTCGGAGATGGAGAGCATTAAAGGCACCCAAAGGACTAAAATTTGACACAGATGTGCGTCTATTAAGAAGAAAGCCACAAGTGCTGTAGCTGGCTAATGTGTATATGTCAACATCATTAGCAGGGCCACTTTAGTTTTTCAGTTTTGCACCTTTGCATTGAATTATTCTGGCTGTGATTTGGAGTCATTCCAACTGTCTGCAGCTTTAGTGTTTGTTGTCCAATTAGCAAAAACCAGCACATTTTCCTGGATTAGCAAATGAAGTAATTTTGCTAATTGTTGCTCGGTTTTGGTCTAGTTTATGTCGGACATAACACTGCAGTCCATGCAGCATTTGTGAGAAGTTGTTAAAATTTACACCATCAACATAACTAGAGGAGTGTGGAGTTTGTTCAACTATTAAAGAGTAACATGAAATTTCTCTTGTTTCACATACAACTCACAGTTATGTGCCAAGTATGTAACACTGGATGTGATGTGATCGTGGCCAGAACATTAGTACCATATCAATGTTACTGGGAAAAAACATTCCTCTGTATAATTTGCTTGTGTGACTGCCGATACACCCGCTACAAACAACGTTAAACATAAGTATGCATATTGCTAAAATGCAAACCTCTTTATTTGACATTGTGTCGCTGCAATGGTACCAAAAACCGCGGGCTCTATAGGCACTGGATTCTGTAAACATTTGTTTTGGAGCTGGTTTTTACTGCTGCGCTACCTTACTGCTTCAACTGTCTCCAGCTGTTGTGACCACATGCGACATAGTTTCATAGCCAGGGCAGGAGGGGCAAAGAGGAGCAGAGGGAGAAGAGGAAAGGATGCTGCTCAAGTTTTGATTCTCACTTTGCCCTTAATGGTTGAAAATTACAGGAAGAAGTTATTTAATGCAGCTTTAAAGACTAAAACATATTTTCTCCAGAATAAGAGCCTTCTTTTTTATTAGCTGACATGGTTTCAAACTATAAGAGCTCAACTGATCAGCAGAAAATTACTCAGCAACAATTTAAAATAACTGATTTAATCATTGTCATTTCTTAAACAAAACATCCAAATAGGACTGGTTCACCTTGACAAGTGTAAAAATCTGATTGTTTTTTTTTTGTGTTGCATATTAGTAAACTGAATAAAACAAGCAATTTAACCACATCACCTAGAGCTCCTGAAAATTATAATGGGCACTTTTTCTGATTACTTTCTGACAATTAATCACCAAATGGTTAACTTATTATACTAGGCAATAAAAGTATTAATTGAAAATGCCAATAATTGTTAGATTCAGCCCTAAATAAAAGTCAAACAGTAGGGGTTGAAGTGGTCAATTTTAAATGAATAAACCACAAATGAACTATGGATGCTATACCTGCTGAAGCTCACTGTCCTTCTGAGACTGTGTTGTGACAGTCATCAGTTCTTCTTCATGTTTCTGGATCTGCTCCTGGAAACGCACATCCTTCTCACAGACCACAGCCTGCAGTTTTGTTAACTGGTAACACAGCCACAACAGTTCGTTCAGATAGAACATTTCAAGTCAGAGCAGGACTACATGTATTTAAAGACAGCACTGTCACCTGTTCAGCATGGGCAGATTCCTTCTCTTGAAGGAGCTGTTCGGTGGCCTGGAGTCGCTCCTTGAGCTCCCTGCTGTTGGACTCCTCTTCACTCAGCCTGTTCTTCAGTTCTTGGAGCTCCTCGTTGATTCCAGCACCAGTTTCTGTGAAAGAGCTGTCTGGGGTCTGCTGTAGACAAAACAGATGTTTGAATCAAACAGATGCTAGCTTGTGCTTAACTCTGTTCAAGATCTTTGTAAGAAAAGCAAACCAGAGGATCTTATAAAATTGCAATAAACCTACATTAGTGACATTATGCTCAAAACAGAGGGCTTGACACCGTATCACCGTTTCAAAGCACAAATATCATGGCACAATGTTTCGATGCCTCGCTTCACCACATGAAAAATCATGTGACCACTCCAAACGATCCCTCGTTATCGCATCAGTGAAGTGTCGTGCTGGTTTTGAATATTAAATGTGCTTCTCATTATTTAAAAGGAGAGTCGTAGAAAAAAAATGATCAGTTTTCATAATACTAGCCTTATTCAACAAAATAACATTAGTAAACATATTAAGACTGCTTATATTGTGACTGTTTTTCATGGTCTCAGATTTATTCCAACCATACAAATGCAGTATCACGTGTTTGGCCAGGAGATGGCGCCATTTCTATGCGAAATGCTTCAAAACAGCCATTTTTTAACATAACTGCTTCATATTGATTCAGTGCTTTAGAAAGACTTGGTTTATCCTTCACCACCCTACAGGCATGTGGGAAAAATAATTGCCTCATTCAAACTCACTGTTGCTCCTTCCTTTCCTTTCAGATCAGTTATCTGTTTGGTTAGTGCAGCCACCTTGGCTTTGGCTTGTAGTTTGAGTTTGGTGAATCTAACCTCTGCTTCTTCTTTTTCATTCTGTGGATATAGAGTAATAAAAGACATCATTAAAAAAATATGCTGTGACGAACTGACTTACACAGTAAAATCTTGATAGCAAATGCAAACAAAGAGGTTATTTACCTTGAGCTGTGCATCCTTGTTTGCCAGCTCAGTGTCCTTCTGGACAAGCTGAGTGTCTTTTTCTCGAATTAGCTCCTTCAGCTGGATCACAAGTTGCTCCAGGTGTGCCAGCCTCTCCATGGCCTCTTCAGGTGCCTCCGACTCCACTGGAGCCTGGCCCTCACCAGCAGGGAGCTGAGGCACCAGCATGCCCTACACAAGGAAATAAATATCTGTTTATTCATTGTGATGAGCTGTAAAATGTCTTAGAGAACAAAAGGCTTCCAAATGATCATTAGAGCTACACACACTTTAAAATCTGGAAACACCATTGGCAATATTCTTCAACGGAGATATTATGGTTTCATGTTAGAATGTTTGTTATGCTTTATAATATTTAATGTCGTATATACACGTGTTGCTCACTCACCTGTGGGTCTCCATCCGGGGCCTCCTCTCCAGAGAGCTCCTGGAGGACTGTGGCCAGACGGCTCAACATAAAGATGGCGCTGTGAGGGTGAGGAAACAGGTTTGGCATATAGATGCAAATTTGTACTTTCTGACATGTAATTCATTCCTTTCCTGGAGCTGCACAAGTTTTGTTCAGTTTACCTGTTTTTCAAAACCTTTCTGCATCTGACAGGTTTCTTAATGTTCAGCCTCAGAATAATTTTAGTTGTAGCGATAATTTTATATAAAATGCTGCCTACAGCAAAATCTGTCTGACATTGTTGATGTGAAGTGTCATGTCTCCTCTCTCCCGTAGTGTGTCCTCTCTCTCTCTCCCTCCCTGTACCTTTCTGCAGGTTGCCCTGGCCCTGGAGCTCTACGTCTCAGGCAGAAGGCCGCCCACCAAGAGCCGGGGTCTGTCGGAGGTTTCTTCCGTTAAAGGGAGTTTTTCCTCCCCACTGTCACCAAGTGCTTGCTCAAGGGGGATTTGTTGGGTTTTCCCTATGTAATAACAGTAAGGTCTAAACTTTACTTTGTAAAGTGTCCTGAGATAACTTTTGTTGTGATTTGGCGCTTCACAAATAAAATGAGTTTGAATTTGATATACTGTACACTTGCCCTTCCACCATGTCTTTGCTGAGAACAGCTTGAAGTGGTGCCTACACTGACACATCCTCTTAAGGTGTCAATAGACAGTACACAAAGAATATGAATTCGAGGTTTGTGTGCATATGCAGGGAGTGGCAAGTTACACAAAAACAACACCTTAACAACAACAGCTGACAAAGTAGTTAAGATAATTTACTTAGTTACTTTCCACCTCTGATTTAAAAAATATATATCTTTTGGATTTTTGAGCACTTTTATATAATCACTTTGGACTCAGTGAAACTGTAATGGGGGGATTATAGTCTTTTGCAGCCACATTTAAAAACATGCTACAAAGGCCTGGAAAAGATAATTAAAAAGTAACATTTTGAAAACCAAGTACGTATATCCCTAGAAATGTTGTTGCGTACTACCGAGACTAATTCGTTATATGTCGTACGCTTACATTACAATATTTGGGACAACTTGAACTTTTTAAAAATAACCACAGAAACTGCACGAACTGGACCGAGACAGACTCATATTTTCAATTATTTCAAAAATTTCCCCTCATGTCCAAATCAACATATTTGCAGACGATCCCAGCCCATCTTTGTCCGAACCGGACCGGGCAGAGCCGACTCTACTCGAACCTGCCGGGCACACTGCGGCTGCGTCACTCTTTTCGTGAGCAGCAAAGATTATAACTAGCTAACGCAAAAATGGTCGGCAAACTTTCCGGGCGGCTGAACACCTATATCTTTAAAAAAACAACAGACAAGTATAGATTAAGAAACGGTGGCGTGAACAGGATGCTGCGGGGAAACGTCCGTTGTTTACTCTTACTGTAGTTTCCACGATAGAGTAAGTTAGCTTAGCTGGCTAACGCGGATACATCGTAAATAAGGACAGATTAAAAACATGTTCTGCTGAGTTTTTCTCCGTTGTGCATGACGCCTCTGTAAAGCAGCCAAGTGAGTGGTGTATTTTTAAAGGAAAGGACTTTTGACTTACCCGTACGAGTGTTTTCCAGGTAAACGTATCTGGTTTTTATTTGAGATATTTCCTCGGATGGATTTCAGAGCATAGCCACATCACCAAACACTCCCGGAAACAAAACGTCCTCTGCACTGATTGGACATCCAGGATCCACGTATGTAAGGGACTCTCTGAAAATTTAATGGCACCGATTCCTTTCTAGGGAGTGGTGCAAAACTATATACATTCTAAAAAACGAAAGATGAGCCCTTGAGTTACACATACCTGTACCCTTCTACATCTGGAACCTCACAGAAGAAAGTATAATGTTGGCAGGACATGACCAAAGAGTCAATATGATCATCAACCATGGCAGGCAGCTGGGGAGGAGTCTGCTGCTGCTGGCCCACTACACCACAGTGTTTCTGGCCTTTGTGGGGCGCACTGTGCAGTGGATGGTGGACGCAGTGAAGTGGACCAGCATGTTTTCACGCTACACAGTATCACTGTTTGACTCCATCTACAAACGACTACACTCGGGGAAGAGGAGCAGAGTCCCTGGTGGTGCCAGAGAGATCTGCCCAAGCTCTGACATGGAGCCACGATGATTTCATGTTTTTTTAATTTATAACCTTGTCTAACAGCATTATATTGTGGGGAAAATCCTAAATAGGTAGCCGAAGGAAACCTGAACATTAAGTGTAACTTATGTTAGATGAAAAAAAGAACATGAGGCCTTATTGAAGTCAGAAAAATTCCAACTTTTTACTTTTTTTAAGCTTTTAAAACATCTATTTGTTACATAATCTTAATGAAGTTATATTTGAATGTGTGGTTATATAATGTGTATAATCCATGTGTTGCTGTCATCAGGAAAACCTCTTCCAAAATGTTGGAAAACATATTTCAGCCTATTTGTTGCAGTCGTTCATCCCTCCTACCTGCTGATTTGACTGTTAATGCAAATGTGTTACAGGGTAACGCAAACTATGTAAAATATGTTGGAATATTAGATACTGTTTGCCTTTTCAGTATTACATTATTGCACTACAGCAGGGGTAAGAGGGGATTTTCAATTAATAGAAACATTAGGAATACATCATAGCAACAACAGCATTGTGTTGTTTTTTTTTTAATGCCTATGAAGCAGACAATATTTCATTTTGCTATAGCATGTTTTTGGCAAACAGGCAAATTCTTGTCTAACATGAATGAAATAACAGCTTGCTATGACACTGGCGAGACCAGTTAACTGTGGAGATGCTGCTCCTTGTGTTTTTCCTGTGATTATCTGAAACATCTTTTTCACTTTTATGGCAAAAGAGAAACACACACACACACACTCCTCCTGAATGCAACTCATATCTGAGTTTAACCATTCCTGGAATGTCAGTGTGCGAAATGACAAAGCGAAAACTGGAATGTTGCCCACAAATCCATTTACTAACAAAGCTATTATTTTACTTTTGTATTAATATGTATATTTTAACTGTTTGCACATTTAGAATGCAGCATAATAAGCACTGACATGTATCTGTCTTTTTTATGACTGATAACACAGCAAGTTATAAGACTGCACTATTGAAATTATTAACCGCACTCATAAATGATGAATACAACAAATGCACTTAAGCTTTCATGTATAAGATTGCTATAACAAACACTTTGTAGTTGTAATATTATTTGTTGGTATTTACATTGACATCAACTGGCTGCAATGTTTTGATTGTCATTAATTCAGATTGTAATATTTGTTCAGTTACTGTACCAATCAGCCATGGCTCCTGCCTTCTTGGCTTGTAACCAATTAAATTTCACTACCAAGAAATTTTTTATAATTCTCATTATTTGCAGAATTAAATACAAGTAGATCAGCAACTAAAGAACACTACTGATTCATCTAATTTTTCCCTCAAATCTTAGATTGTATTATACAGTTAGACCAATGTCTGCATTAAACAGGTTCAAGTAACATTACATTGCTCAATAAACCTGTTGTGACAACTGTTTAAAAGAAATAAATCCATGTACAGTGTTTCCCTGTTGAGCTACAGAAGAGGAATAGCAGCAAAAAGAGGGAATTTTATACACTTAGCAGACTTTTGGAAAAGACCCACTAATGTGGACAACCGTTGTCTCATAATGGCATCAGATAAACTGTAGGTCCCCATCACCTGTGGACAACCGTTGTCTCATAATGGCATCAGATAAACTGTAGGTCCCCATCACCTGTATCAAAAGTGCTTTTTCACAGCCATTATCAGTTGGAGTAATGATTACAGCAAGTAGGTACACATGGGAATCTGTCTGCCAAAAACTGTGCAACTGTCCTTTAAATGTGTAATGGAGCAAGCAGCAGTAGTGTCTTCTAGTGTGCTTAGTCTTCACTAAGAGCATTAAAGCTGCGCCACTCATACCTGTATCTCCATGTGAGGGATGAAACTGTGTTTGTCAGCATATTTCAGGGTAAATGTCAATGGAGGCAGAACAGTCAACTTGCACTTTTAATGGGGCGCTTAAGATGATCATCTACTGGTTCTCCTGGATTACAACCAGTTATTGGCCCTTGAGGAGGTCACCTGAGGGGTGGGATCACCTTAACCCCAGACACAATCCGCTATAAAAGGCTCATGCAAGCTCATTCTAAGTCCAACTGTAGTGTGACTGTGAAGAGGGATATCCTTTGCCTCACAGTAGACCCATTGGGCTGAGAGGTCCATGCACCAACTGGAATAGGCTCCGATTACCTTATCCGAAACACACTCTGATAGCAGAGAAATACAAAACAACAGGAAGCATTGTGGATGACCTGCAGGCGGTGGAGATGCACCTCTGGTGCAAGAAGTTCACGATCGTGTGCCCCTCAGGTCAGCTCACTCTGCACGATTTCAAGCAATTTGTTGGGCTTAGAAGACTGGACACAGAGGCCAAGGCCTACATAGAGCAGATGTTCCACACATTCGACATGAATAAAGTAAAATGCTGCACTTTTTAGATAGAAAGTTAGTTTCAATAAGGTTCACACTGCTGAGTGAAAGGTGGCAGGGGGTGATGGTTCTTATGGGGTTGCAAGGTTGTGTCAGGTCTTGCAATTGTTTTTTTTTTTTTTTTAAGAGATAAAACATTTGGACATAAAGCCGTTTTTAACTAATTCAAAAGGGATAATGTACATACAGTACACAACAGAAGGCTAAAACTTACACTGAGTGCTTATGACACTCAAAATCTGCTGTCCAAACAAATGCTTGCTTCTGGGTTGTTATAATGACTTCTATAAGGTGACATCTTCAAATTTGTCCGACAAACAATACAAAACACAAACATATGTCATTTACAATTGTATATAACAAAAAAAGACATCAAATTATCACAAGGCAGAAGATGGAACCAGAGGTTTCTGACAGTTTTGTGTAATAAACCAACTTAAAAGAGGAATTGATCATCAAAATTATTGTGAACTCATTTTAATTTTACAATTATTCATCTAACTATCAATAAATTAGGCAGTGTTTGTGGGAAAAGATTAGAGCTGCAAGTAAGAATTTGCATTTTTCATGATCAACGAAACTGTTTTTAATCAATCATTTTCTCTAATAAATGTCAAAGTGCATCAAAACCAAAGTTAATGTCTTTAAATAGTATCTTTTGTTTAGCCAATAGTCAAAAACACAAAGAAATGAATTTGATTTTCTTTGATAAGTTAAAGTGCCTCAAATCATCACATTTGAGACACTGAAACCAGCCAGCTGTTGGCCTGTAGCAATTTATTTTGTATTAATCAATTAATTGATGAATTGTTTCAGCACTAAGAAAGATAAAAACACCACAATGAAATGGTCTGCTGCTTGACTTGGGTTAGTACCTGTATCATTCTAAATGGCCACTTTGGCCCTCGAATCACAATTTAATTAAGCGCCCCTGAGCTTGTGACAGGGTCACCGCAGGATGGGTCTGTCTGAGAAGCTGCATGTCTATATTTAGTGCCGGCTCCCAGCTCACAAAAGGCCGTGGTAATCTCTCTGCATGATTTAAACTGCGAGATTATCTAAGAGACGGTGCTTTGATGTGAAGATCGTTGCCCATGTTCAGATGCACACGGTCCCTGCAGATAATCCCCTGTTCTGGCACGCTTCAAATAGCTTTTGGATCAGTTTCATCTGAAGGATGGAGCTTTGGTTGTCTGATTATCACTTTAAATTTCTTAAAGCCGTTCAGTAAGATGGTCACATATAATAATATGATAATATGTATAATAACTTAGTGATGTTTAATACTGTTTTGACAAGAAACTAGTCATCTCCCTGCTGGATTCTGCAGGACGCTATAAAGATTTCATGGAGTATGTGGCCGCCCTCGGCCTGGTGATGCGAGGAAAGATAAAAGCACAACCTGTACTGGTATTTCAATCTTTATGATGTGGATGGAAACGGCTGCATTGGCCGACATGAGCTCCTCAACATGATAAAGGCACCGTATATCATGCACCTGCAACCCTGAATTTTCTACGTGGCCTCCTGATTTTATTCCCTTTCCTTCAGGCCAGTCGTGCGATCAATGAAAATCAGGAAACAACTGCAGAGGACTTCACTAACGGTGTGTTTGACAGAACTGATATAAATGGAGATGGTGAGTGTGTACTGGCACTGTATAGAGACAGATTTATGAAGAAATCGATTATGAGTAGACAGTGTCTATAGATTTATCAGCTCCATTCTTGAGTCAGGAAACAAGCATTGAAAGAAGATGGACGGTAGGTTGCTGTTAAACACAACACCAGTCCCTTTGAAATAGATGCTAATTGACGTCTTGTACAAGTAAAACACTTAAAGGACTCCACCACACCAGCGTGCAGACAGGTCTCTGAGAGTATTACTGCATTTGTGAAAGATGTTTTTTTCTCTCCTCCAAAAGGGGAGCCGTCTTTGGAGGAGTCTGTGGCCAGTGCTCGCAGGGATGCCGATTTCAGGGAGGTGATGATGAAAAGTCTGGACCTCACTCACATTGCGGCCATGATTTACAACAGGAGTTGCAGAATTTAGGATGTGCTCAGTCTGATTACCTCATCCACAATCATGATTTAACCTGAGACTGTCAGTAGTTATAAATAGAGATATGCAGAGATTTTAATTAAATACAGTTTAATATGATGCCACTGTGTTGTTAACACTGACATTTCTCATTTTTAACCCCTAAAAGAGTGACACACATGCACTTTAAATGCATTTGGATGACTCAGTCAACCTTTGCAGACCAGTCTCATCCTTGTTTAATGATGCTGAGCTCTCTCCCAAGGCCACCCTGGCACGAGGGATGATTTCTCTCACTTGTCCTCAAATTCCTTGAGGGCTAATAGTGAGAAATATCAATCTTTCCAAATCATTTGTTTTCCAGGTCTGAGATGGAATCTATTTTCATGTTACCAGCTTTTATAGAAGAAAGCTGACTCCACAATGAGCTTAACATCCAAGCTAATGTGATTAAGTTTAGGTGTGTGAAGTTAAAATTGTCATACCTTTTCTATTTTAATTTTTTTAAATGTTTGAAATCATTTTAGAGCGGACAATAAGAAAAATACTGGCTTGTCTTTTTGTAGCATTTATGTCTGTGAGTACTTCTTTGACCAAGTGACTTGCTTAAGGGCCTTCTGCTGAAAGGCTGCAGATTTTATTTTCCATATTGTTCTGATTTGTACAATAAAATGAATGCCTGAAATAATCTGTAATGTTTCTGTTAAGTGCACTGGATAAATATTGCAGGTACCTCAGTTAAAGCAGAACATTGGGCTTGTTTCACTTTAAAACTGTGAGCACTTCAAGCAAAGAGTGATTTGAATACATTTTAGAACCACATGAAGAAGAACTACCCAGTACGATAAACGTGTAAAATAAATAAGAATTAACTTTATGGAGCACAAAACTGTTTATCTTCTTTTTTCACAACCCCTCTGATTTATCATGCTATCCTCTCAGGGTGTCAACCACTGGATACTACAATCACCGAAAGATCACTTTTGCTTCTTTTCACATACACTACGCAGAAACAAATTCTGCATGTCTGTACTGATGAATAACTAAACAGATCAAGATTGTAAATTTATCTCCTAAACACAAGACAATTAAGATGAGCCATTTCAAAGAGCACTTCAGGCATATTAGATTTAAAGAGAAAGAAGAAAATGTGAAATAAAACTCTGGTTAAACTGGTGGATGTGCAGTGGATTTCAACACTCACAACTTAACAACTGTTTGTTTTAAGTGTTCACAAGCCAATAGGATTTGAACCACTGGTTGACTGGTTGGGGGAGATTCAGCAACCAGGGACCAATTATGGGAACAGATGATTCTTAATTCAACCTTGTGATATTAACAGCATCGTTTTTGTTCAGCATCTTCACACCACAGGGCAACAACACATTACAGAAACAAAATCCTGCCTTTGAGCAAGGACGATGAGTCACCTGCACGGTGCCAGGGTCGATCTATGTCAGACAACAATGCTGCAGCTGCACCATAATAACATTTTTCATGTTATATATAGCAGGGGGTGGATCGGCGACCTGTCCAGGGTGTACCCCGCCTTTCACACGATGCCGGCTGGGATTGGCTCCAGCCTCTTAATATGTCCTTTGGGTACAATGCAAATGTAGCAACCTTTAGACAAAACTAAAACAAAAGATTACAATGAATTGCCAATATGGCATTTATTTTACTCAAATGCACATTTTTAACATGGACAGTGGCACGCTCCTCAGCTCAACTGTCAGCCACAAGGGGGCAGCCACAGAAATGGAATACGTTTTCCTGCACATGAATCCCTGTAGTAGTCTGAGCTCCTTACTTTGCCCAGTGCTCGTCCTCAAGTTTGTTCGTGTGTCTTACTGTCACTGTGTCACTTCTTTAATCACAGCTGGCTCACAGGAAGTCATAGAGATATTTTACAATATCAAAATTCACCGTCCTGGAAGATAAAACACACCAAACACATTCTCAGTGATCAAACTGTAAAGCGTCAATTCCCTTGAACAACTCGGTCTCAGGTCATGTGTATTAACAGACATGCGCACCCACCTGGAAATGGCACAGATGAAATCCATGGAAACAGCACATTTGTACTTCGGGGCATTGAGCTGATCATTGTGACTGACCTGAGTCAACAGCTGCAAGGTCACCAGAGAGGAGATCTAAATAGGAACAGAGACCAAAATTACTCCAGTCCACCTCTTTAAACACAGCTTCCCCACACTTTGATGCAGAGATGAGAGCCAGCTGCACAGATAAGGGTCGAGCCCAGTTTCCTAAAAACCATCCCACACACTGGGCCACAAACAGATCAGATCCCAAAACTCGTGGCCATATGGTGAGAATACCCTCATCAGAGACATCATGGTCACTGTGGTCATTAGGCTCAGTTTAATATAAATAGCAACCCCTGATTATATGGTGTGCATTCAGTTATGTGGCAAGTGGGAGGAAAAGCAGGGAAATAAATATGTTTATACATATTTTGCACATGCTACTCTGGAGACCATGAGGCTTCCTACAGCTAATACTGGGTGTCACAATCATGGAAAAAGATTAAGGAGGACTAAATGACAGCAAAACCACTACAGTTTAACTCAATGGCAATAAAATAGAGAAATAGAATTTGCCCACTATTTTACAAGGACACTGTAGTCCAAGGGTCAGTAATGGACGTGTTTTTTTAAACTGGGTACTCGCTGTTGTACAGGCCTGGAGGAATCCGTCTTCAGGATGTCTGTTTAAATGTTTGAATTTATTTATGAATTAAAGGGCAGAGGTAATATTTTCAGTAATAATTAGGGAAATTCATCTGTGGTTAAACAAAAAGTGTTGCTGTTGCCTTAGAAGAAATGTCGTCATCTACTTGCATTTGTGCGACACACTAGTGTTCAAACAAACTGTGCTCCAGCTATTTAGTCAGGGGCCGTCTGAAATAGAACAGTCAGAAGTCACAAAACGGGCTTTCACTCAGTCTCAGAATTTTCTCGATTAGTGCCTAAAAATCCCAGTGCCTAAACGTGACTGCAGCCGCCCACTAGAGTCTCTCTCACCTGGGAGAAGATGCTGGCGGTAGGAGCCACTCTGCTGTCCACCACGCTGTAGAAAATGGCAAGCAAGCGGTCCAGAGGGAAGGGTTTGGGCCCCAGAAGGTGGTTACTGGTCTGGACAAGATTTACATTAAGTTATATGTGAAACAGGACTGAAACTAGGCAAGATCAAATCAAGTCAAACGATAAGATGATCACCTTTTCATTTTTCTTCAGGAAGTTTGTTTTTCTTATTTTACCATGGTGCTGTTAGGAGGAAACAGGAGGACATGGAAACATTAATTCACACAGATCAAGCCTGTGACCAGTCGGCCGGTTCAGGAATCCATCCATGGAGGTCATCACCTGTTACCTTTGAAACATTTCACTAATCTGAACAAATGCCATACTTTCAAGCTATTCATTGACAGTTTACGAGTGACAGAGTCACCATCTGTGATATATGTGAGCAACATTCATATTCTGAAACCGGACCTGGTTCAAGTGTGGCTGACGATTTGTGTGCATGTCATCTTGCTCTGCCCTGGTGTCCTGACGACGCCTCTCTGCCCAATACAAGGGCTTAAAAACACCCAAAAACATAAATAAGAAGGAGAAAAGTTCTTCTACCTTCAGGAAAAAGCGCTTGTCTGTGCGGGCAGGGTTGTAGGATGCCAGGTAGGCAGCAATCCGCAGGAACTGTAATAAGGCAATTCGACATGAGTGTGAGCAGACAACCCTTCGGAAGGAGGGAAATAAGTGCAATCAGTCAGATGTACTGCAGCTCTAAAAATCTAAAAGAAAAACATCCACAGATTCATACAGTACAACATTAATGCAATCTAAGATTTGGTGTTAATATTATCTTTGTTGCGATTACAAACTATCAGCTGCACAGGGAAAAATATCACAATCCAGTGTCACTGCACCCCATCAGTGGCTTAACAGTTTAACATCTGCTCTGCAAACGTGTTACATCATCAAGTGCAACAGCGCTGTGTGTGTCGACACCTCTCAAGGCTCCAGCTTCCTTCTCCTCCATTTGCTGCATTTGTTCCCACTGAAGACTGAAGAGGAAGAAGAGAGAAAACACTGCTGAGAGTCCTCAGCATCTGTGTAATCTCACTCAAAGCAGCAAACAGACAGAACTATGTGATACAGTTTGATTATTCTATTAAAACTAATGTAAGACACTGACCTGGACACCTCTCGCAGATAAACCGTCTGCATGGCTTTCTTCAAATGAGGCTCAATATTTTTCCACAGCTTGTGTGTGTCCGTTTCTTTCACTAAACACATAAAATAAAGCAAACTATTGAAAAGGCCACTTTGTTAGGTACCCTTGTACATTACAGTGAGGTCGTCATTTTTGTCCTGTCAACTTATCACTACCAGTTAAAAGTCTGGAGACACTTCCCCGTTCATTTCAATGGGAAAGCGCATCCAAACAGACTGGTAATGTACACGAGAGGCACAGAATATTAGGGAGATTATGTTAGGGCAGGGATTTTAACATACGATGCATCAGTCCATAAATCCAGCTTTACAGTTGTCAAGTGGACACAAACACATCCAAGTGAATGCTAATGTTTCTCTGTGTTTCATGGATGTGCAAGTACAAAAACATTCACCAATAAGTCCACCACTACAACCTAGGGCGATAATGCAGATTGGTGACAAATTAAAGGAAAATCCTGAATAAACGGGTGGAGAAATATAATGAATGCAGATACTGGTAGTCTGACTACACCTATCACCCTTAGAGGGAAGGGTCACTGCAAATTAATACAGAGATCCTCTGCGTGATCACCTTTATCCTATGATGAAATACTTCTACTTTGATGGGAGCGGGCTCTTCCAGGATGACAGTACCCGAGTCCATAGAGGGTAGGAAAATTGCGTGAATCATATGTTATGACCTTCGCAGTTGAACACCCATGGGAGATTTGGACTCATGTTAAAGGCTAAACAGGCTTTGCACATACCCTCACGCAGCATGTTCCTATTCATACGTCAGATCGAGGGTCTACCTTCTGTCTGCGTATGTTTTCCAAGCATTGTGGTACATGTACAGTCGAGGCTTTTGTTAAGCAGACAGTGTGTGCAGATGCAACTTTTCAGCCTGCACGTGGACAACTGTGCAGACCACTGGGGACCTGGGAAGATGATGAAAAGTATGTCACTGGACCACGCGGACATGGGAAGTATAGTCTGCCCTTTAGACAGAGCTTTTCACCCCCATCATCAACGCACCAGGTGATGGAATATCTTTTGGAAGAATGCCACAGCACACTGCAGCTGTTCTGTCAGCACATGGTGGCTCAACACCTTACTGAGACACTTTGTTGGTTTTTCCTTTAATTTGTCACCTGTCTGTCAGTGTTGTTCTGCTTCCACCGACTACTCGAGAAAAAAAAAAAAAAAAAATCAATGAATGCAGCTTTAGACAAACAAAATGAACACAAAGGTAAAGTAAGGTATTTTTGATTATTGATCGGGTGCTAGATAAATGAATACATCTCATGTTTCACCTTTTCCTTCTGCCAAGGGCTCACAGAACTTTGAAAAGTTGAGGGCAGCCTGGTTGAAATGAACAAATTACAAATCAGTGGTGCAAGACTGAAAGAAAATCAAAACAGTGGAAAATCTTGTGTTTGAGTCTGACCAGGCGGCGCAGCTCCCTGAGGTCCCGACAGACAGAGTAAAAGACGCCCAGCAGGATGTTGATGTAGGAAGAGTAAAACTCAGCCGAATAGGAAGGATGTCTGTCCTGAGACAAGATCTGCTGCAGCTCACCTGTGAACAGTACATACAGATTAAATTTAAGAGCAGGGTTACCACAAGCCCACTCAAAAACAGAGATTATAAAAAGTAACGTCTCTCCAAAATCAGCCAGAGGTTCTTATATACCAAGTACAACTCACTCCCCCTAAGTGCTCAATTTAAACAGCTGTGTTTTATAATGCAATACACCTGCAGTTGCTGCCTAAAGTGTTGGAACAAAATCGCAGGTACAAATCTCACATCTCACAGTGCATCCGCCAGCTGTGCGTCATCATTATGCAATGTGGTGTGGAGTTATTCATGACGCTGGCTGATGTAGCACGAACCGTGATACCTTTACTGTAGTCGGGGAAGTTGAGCAGAAGTGGCTCAAAACAGCCGGTGTTTGGTCTGAAGTTATCCCAGACGATTTCACTGAGCAGGATAACGGTAACATTGTCTTCTACCTGAAATTTAAAAAAAAAAAGTGAAAATGAATTCAAGTGTTTTCCTGTCAGTTAGATTGTCTCCGTGGCTACAGACTTTACTACCTCCTGGAATTAGTTTTATATTCATATAATGTGGATTAATCATTTATTTGAAGCAAAAAACACTGATTCCAGTTTTTCAAAAGAGGATTTGGTGCTTTTTCTCTAATTTATATAATTTTAAAATAAATAGTGTCGTGAACTGTTGGCTGGACAGAACCAGCTATTTGAAAACACACTGTTCTCTAGAATTTGTGATTCTTCATGAAGCAAATCTTTTTCTTTAATAAACAATGGATAAAACAATCAACAGACAACTGCTCTTTACTTAAATCTTTGAGTTATAAAAATAAACGATCATTTAAACTGAAGAATGCACATGAGTGCTTTAAAATGTCAAAAACAGACTATATCAGTTAGCAAAGGTGTAGGCTGAAGCAATTATTATGACTACTTTTCTAACTATATACAATTTACAAGCTACACAGCCCAGACAATATAAAATTATAATACATAAGCCCTTTTCAGACAAAAATATCTAGACATGACCCAGAGGAGCTGTATGTCAGAACACAAATGTCCAAGTTAGTTGGATCTGAAGCAGACTTTACCCTCCAGCTCCTCACTACAAAGTCTGTGTAATGTCTGAGTGAGATGGAGTGAGCCCACATGAGGAAACAGTAGCATATAGTGCGCAGTATTCACAGCGAGCCAGCAGGCAAGTTGATGACGTTCTATCAAGTGACCGGCGCAAAAGAATACAAACATACAGTGGTGAAGAAAAACTGTCATTTACAGTTAAGACACCGGCGAAGATATCAAACTGGAGACAGGACGAGATTGGAGAACTTCTGTGTTTAAGAGCCGGTGCTGAAAGCACTATAACTTCTGCTTGAAATAACATAAATCCGTCCTTTTCATCTTTTTGTACAAATGCAACAATAACAAATGTAACAGCATTAACACTGATACACATTAGAGATACAACCATCCTTTATCATCCTGTCATCCATCACAAAATCTGCATCCTAATTATCACTTCAAAATCCTGTGTGGTAGCACGAAGCTGCCCTAACAGTGAAAAGACGGATTCCTCTTAACATTCACAACCCACCAGAAAACAATTTGCTTTCACATGAATAGAACACAAATCACATAGATGTTTTCACTCTTCCTGTCTTGAATTAAAATGCTGGGAGTGGCTGCCATCCTTCCTTCCTAATAGCATTAAGACAGAGCACCACGCTTTCAGCTCAAGGTCAGTCATTACAGAAAGAAGCTCTTCCAGGCCCTCTTCATCATCGGCACATTGCAACAGCAACAATAATGTGGCTCATTTCTTAGATAACACAAACAGCTCGCTGGACTCTCACCAATTCCTGAAGACGTAAGAGAGCAGGCAGGAGATTGGTATCAGCGTCCCTCAGAAGCTCAGCTTTGTCCATTACCTGAAAAATATATGTATGTTTGAGCTTATTTTAACACGTAAAACAGAGGCTCTGAATAAATGTTTTATTGTGGCATTTTAGCATGTTTTCTGCAGTGAGCTCACAAAGTGTAAATGCCAAATTAAAATGCAAGATTCAATCCACTCGTGTGCTGGTAGAAAACCATGCTTATTTTCTCTAGGCTAATGCATCTGGAGCTTTGTTTAGCATGTCTTTACATATGTTACCATATTAACATACAAACGTTTAGGCGACATGTCCAAATAATAAATAATTTGATGTGCCATGGATTGGAGTATTCTGGTGTGCCAAGTGACTTCAAGTGATTTTCTGGTTGGGTGTAAAGTGCACAGCACTCACAATGTATCGTGTCTCTTTGGCAGGAGTCTGGGAACACTGCTGTCTGTAGATGCGTACAAAGTCAGACAGGGAGGGACTGCAGGGGAGCAGCGAGGCGGCGTCACAGCCAAAGAAGGACAGCAGCACTTGTTCAAACAGCAACGTGACAGAAACACATTCGACACAGCTGACTGTGGCATGAGGCAGCTGCAGAGAGCAGGAGGAATGATGGAAGACAGTTAACATCTATGCAGTTCAAACACATTGGCACTGTGTTGGTTCTGTCAATTCCTTTGTAGCACATTGAGCATGATAATCTTCTTAATGAAATGACAATTGACCATTAAAATATGTAAATGCCACAGCTCTCCAATGCTGCAATTTATTGTTACAGGAAGTTAAATAAACACCAAATCTAAGTTGGTTAAAGTGCTGCAAAGACCAATCAATTAAAAAACGAATTAATTGGCAACTATTTTGATATCACATGAATTGTTTCAGTCATTTTTCAAGCAAAAAAAGCCAAATATTTGCTGGTTCCAGCTTCTGAAATCAAAAGGTCTGGTGATTTTCTTTGTGTTATATGACATGAAACTCAGCATCTTTGGGTTGTAGACCCCTGGTTAGTCCAACTAATCATTAATGAAAACAACAGTTAGTTGCAGTCCAAGTTAGTTAGGTACTTAGTGAGTTAATTAGGAACTTTACTGTCCACAATGTGTAATGACATACAGTTGCAAACACACAAAAACAAATTCAACTAATGAAAAGTGAGAAACACAAAATGTTTGTGAGATCACAGGGAGGCTATGCTTTCTAAGTGTATTTGGCAGAAAAAGACTTGCTGTACATGTGGGCGGTGGCTTTATGCCTACAGAACATTTCTGAGTAAAAACTCAAAGTGTGGGAAAGATCACTGAGAAACTAAAAAGCTTTGCTCTTTATATTTAATTTATACAAAAATATCTGCAGTATGAGCACACCTATTTACTCTGTGCATAAATGTTTAATCAGAAGCGAAAGTACACACAGAAAGCTTTGTGTGAAGCGAGGAATGAGATTTTTCTAAAATGCATTAACACAAAACAAAACAAAACAACAAAAAACACCCTTAACTTTTTTCAATAAAAAGTTATTTTTCGAGGATGAGGCACTCTTTCAGCATTCTGATGAGGATGACTCTGAGTAAGTGAAGGTCCATCATCTATGTAAGGTTTATATAAACTGTAATCTGAGAATCTAAACTTTGCATATTAAACAGATGCTGACACAAGTGTGTTTAGTGGTTTGTGCCTTCACACACTTATGTCTGCCTGCAGTGAAGGAAGGGAGACAACAGTAAAGAAGCAGAAACTATTTCTCATTTTGGTGACAAAATAAACAAATGTTTCCTTCTCACCTCAAGTTCCTTCAGCAGAACGTGCATCACATGACTCTTCCCGGAGGCCCGATGACCGTAGATGAAGATTGAAGGGTAGCTGTAATGCTGAGGCTGCAACAACAGAATCCAATCTCTTTTTACTCAATATAAATTTAATATCTCATCACGCTCAGTGCAAACAAGTTCTCAATCTACAGGTAAATAAATCAAGTATTCAGTACTTAACTGTAATGCTAATGTCCGATTGAAGACTTTCTTAGCCGTCTACTAGTCACTCAATTTCCTTAATAAACTGATGTGATTTAATTGAAAAGTTTCCATTAACCGTTCATCTCAAGGAGAAAGCCGAGAGACCTCCAGTGCTGATTAATTCCAAGCCTATTCATTATTATTTTGACACCTAATGACAAATAATTCATTCTCCTCAAAAGAACATTAAAAAGTAGTGTTTATTTGTCAACTAAGACCCTAATTGTAAATGCACAGACAACTGGATACAAGTGTGCTGCAACAGAAATTGTTTCTCTACTGTAACTTCACAATTGTTTTTCTGTATAACATTGCACCATATTTTATTTTTTGTGTTACATTATTCGCTGTGTCTGTTTTATTATGCTTAAAGTGTTTGTTTACCATCTTTGTCTACATTAAATGCAACTAAGAACGAAGTTTTCAATAAATTATCATAAGTAATAGGAGAAACAGTGATAGTTGATTGCTGTGATTTCTCAAAGCACAATTAAAGTTGCTTGTTTTATTCAACTACGTCATCACAACAGAGAAAAGCAGAACATAATGTTTCATTCTTTGCTTGAAAACTAAAATTACCAAGAGTTTGACGAATCACGACTCTGTCCAGCTCTAACTGTTTTATATGCTTTGATGAATACACATTGAGCTCCACTGTACTGGAGACCTGTGAAAGATTCCTCTTATCCTCATCACCAGACACTCAGTAGGAGTTGACACAGTAAACACACCTGTCCCATCAGCGACAGCAGCATCCCAGCCTGGACCTCCCTGCCGGGCAGCTGCCCTGCGACCCTTTGCATCCTCTCCTCCTCATACCCTGGATGCTGTAGGACCGCTGTCATCCTGCTCGTATTACCAACCACACGACAACTAGTTATTATCACCGTGTGAAGAGCTCAGTGACATACAACTAAACACAGGAGTAATGTTACCTTAGACGTGCATTCAACAGGGCGCTGGAAGCGACGAACGGCAGTATTCAGCCAAACTGAGCCAACTGACGAATACTGCCGGAAATTATTTACTGTGCATACAAAAGAGTAGCGATGAAACAGCCACACGACATATAACAAAGTTAAAGTAGTGTGGAAAAACAAGTTAATACTGCAAATACAAACACAACTGAGCATACTCACAGGAATTTCGCGCGCGCCTTTAGATTACGTCAAATGATGGTGATTGTTACCAACCAATCAGAACGTACCTCGACATTGTGGGTACTGTAGTTTTAAACCGTACCGGGCTTTACAAACGCTCGACCATTGACTCTGTGCATTATGGGTAATGTAGTTTTAAACTGTTTTTTTTTTAAGAAATAAAGATTAATTATAGTTAGATTTAAAGTAAAATGTTATTGAATTAAAAGAAAGATATATATAGCCTACATTAAGATAGACTATTTTATAATTCTATGTTCACTGGGCAACTCTGCTAAGAAAGGAAGTGTAAGACAATCAAAAGCTACTTAACCCCAAATTAGGTTGAATAGACCTTGTGGTGAGAATATTTTAATATGTCAGATAGCCTAATTTATTTCACAGACCGACTAACGAATATAACAAATTATGATTAGACCTATTATAAATCAGAATTACTAATCATAGCCTAAATTACGATAAACTGTTTTAGCATTAGCTTGCTTTTGTGCCCATAAATGGTGAATAATGCAGGTGTGCATATTACAAAATATTCCTATTTTGCACTGTAAACCGCAAAAGCAAAAAAGGTCAATTTAACTAGCACTAAAAACACTTAGCTTCAGATTACTATTATTATTGTTGTTGTTATTACTACAGTAGGTGCATTTATATGCATTAGTACATAGTGCATTTATCCGTATTCTGCTCATACAACAGGCTGTGATGCAGCGGTCAGGGGGAATCATAGTAAAATCATAGTAAACTGACAGTTATTAGTATTGCTGTCCATTGTGTCTGTTTAAGACTTCGCGCGTTACTGTAACTGCGTCAGACTGGGATTAAAGGATGGGGGTTGGCCCTACACATCCGAAGCCATCCTCCAACTCTATATCAGTAGGAGCTCAGCTGCGGCTGGTGGTCTGTCGCCGTCGAGCACACACGGACCATTTCAGCGAGATCTCACACACTGGTTTCACAGAGCTGAATCTGTTTGCCGGAATAACAGCCTCTGGCTTTTAGGCTGGACGCAGGTAGGGACATTTTTAAATAAACGTGAGGACAAATCTACGAGCTTCTGGGTGGATGATATATTCCTGAGGCTTGTTATTTCCCGGAGCGCACGTTTTGTTTTTGCAGTGTGATAAATAAAAATCAGACGAAAGAAGACAACAAAACCCGACCTTCCCACGGAGGTGAGAGCGCAGCGATGCTGTGGTTATAACTGTGACTGAGTAAAGGCAATAAAATAAAATCAGAAAGCTAAAGTACTAGTTCTTCAGACTAAATACTGTGACTATGCCTTTCATGGACCAGATGCTGCAAAGGTTATTTGAGTGAGGACAATTCAACTGACCCTGAGGACCGAGCAGTCCCCTCACACACGCCAGAGGATGGTCCCCGGGGCCCCCAGCACGACCACCACCATGCTCCCCGCCTCCGAGGCTGCCAAAATCTACCAGACCAACTACGTGCGCAACTCCCGCGCCATAGGCGTTTTGTGGGCCATTTTCACCATCCTCTTCGCCATCGTCAACGTGGTGTGCTTCATCCAGCCGTACTGGATCGGAGACGGCGTGGACACCCCGCAGGCGGGCTACTTCGGGCTATTCCATTACTGCATCGGGAACGGTCTGTCCCGGGACTTGACCTGTCAGGGCAGTTTCACAGAGTTCAGCACTATCCCCTCCAGTGCGTTCAAGGCTGCCTCCTTCTTCATCGGGATGTCCATGGTGCTCGTCCTCACCTGCATCGGCTGCTTCTCGCTCTTCTTCTTCTGCAGCACCGGCACCGTTTACAAGATCTGCGGTTGGATGCAGCTGGCTGCAGGTAGGGGACTCGAACTATAAGTGTTTATAAGTTCAGGTTGTCAAAGTGTTCCGAGGAGCGCCAGTGAGATGACATCAAATTCAAATTGGTGTCAAATTCATACAGTTCTCTAGAAATTGTCCAAAATCGCCGGTTTCAACATAATCTTCTCAGTCAAATTTTGAAAAACTAAAACAGCTGCAGGGTCAAAATGGGCATAATCTGCACCTAAAACTCCAGAGGTTCGCCTGCTTTTTTTCAGTTCAGTGAGTCTAATAAATACTCTTTTGAGATACATGTTGAGACTACCTCAGGCTCAAATGGATTAAGACTTTAATTCCACATGCTTTACTGGAAACTATCCAAAATAACAGGTTTCATCCTCATCTCCCCAGCTCAGGGTGCTGACCGTTATGTATTTTGGTGTTAAAACAGCTGGTCATAGTCAAATGCACTGCTTTTATCAAAAAAATTCCAGGTGTCCCACAGGATTTTCAGGGCATGGGCTGCAATTCCTTGGCCACAAAGCCCCGTTTTAGCAGATTTCTCTCCTTTGAAATTCCACTTCAGAGCATTTCTCTGGTTACTAAAACCCATCTAAAACATTATATAACTGTCTGTAGTGTAGGTGGAGTGGCAATAGCCTTGGGGAAAGTGATACCTTAAATCATAACCGTAAAACTCTGTTCTGCTAGTATAAATGGCTGGTAAAGACTCCATTAAATCATGGGAACAGGATAAGTCCTCAGTGGTGCATGGACTTTACACTGCCTTTTATGTGAGGATAATCTGGAAACATGCAAAATGTTTTCTCTTAATGGGAACAAAAAAGGTCTCTTTAATGTCTTTAAAACAACCATGCACATTCAACCAGAAAATGAGAAATAAAAATCAAAGAGCAGAGACATGTAGTGACTGAACTGCTTCTTTCTGCCTTTAATTATCATCAATTTCCAAGATTCTCTCTGAGGCAGACAGAAAATTTGCCTGCATGTGCACAGATCTTGATTCCCTTCCAAAAGTATATTTTTCAAAAATAACTGGTGCAGCTTTGTATTTCAGCCAACTATTTCAGTCCACTAGGGAAAATGACAACATTAACATTTCTTGCCTCTTTTCTACACTTTTATTTATTGGTCGAATAAAACCATTTTCACAACACTACATAATGCACATACACACACATGATATAAACATAAAGACATACTCATTTACACATAACCACATGTAGCTTTGCATGGTATATGTGCATATACACTTCATATGGACGCGCATACTTCTTACCGGTACTACTGCACACATAATGCCAATAACATAACGTATACTGACAACCACAGTGAGAACTTAAGAGTCTATAACCCATCAATTTGGCTGGAGCCAATCTCAGCTGGCATTGGGCGAGACGCAGGGTCCACCCTGGACAGGTTGCCAGTCTGTCACAGGCCTGATACTTAGAGACAGACAACCACACATGCCCACACTCACTCCTACGGGCAATGTAGAGTCGCCAATAAGCTGCATGTCTTTGGACTGTGGGAGGAAGCTGGAGTAGTCTGAGAGAACCCACACAGGGACAGGGAGAACATACAGACTCCACACAGACAGGCACCGGGATTGAACCTGGTACCTTCTTTCTGTGACACGACAGTGAGACAGTGTGCTGGTTCATCTTGCACTAATACCACTTTCCCCCCGAATGCTTATTTTGCAACTGAATGCTTGTCTATTAGTGTGCACTGTCACATTATTTATACAGCCTCTTCACATCTTTCTGAGCTGCACTGCCCCACGCTGCACAGTGATAATTGACCCGACTATTAATTCTTTAAATAAGAAGCTTGCAACTCGTCCAATCATCTTTGCCACCTTTTTATAAAATCAGTAATATGCCCATGATGATTTTGCTGTTTGATTTTCAGTGGTTTGACACTGTGTGACCTCTTCAGTGTGAGCATTATGACATGTTAATACAATGGTTGCAATTTTCTTATTCTTTATCTTGTGAGTATTGTTATGTTTTAGGTGCTGTTTGACAATTTGTTCATAATCACTTTGAGTTATCCACCAATTTAAGAATGTACTATGTAACTTTGTCAGTCACAGCTGATGCAGTAGAATCAGAAATATTATTATCATTATTCCACATGTTCTTCTTCCTTGTCAAAACCCAGCACCTACATTACCCACAGTGCAGCTGAACTGCTGAAAGTTTGGTTGGAGATAAGGCTATTTTATGCTAGTAGCAGCAAATAGAAGGCCCATTCCAACTCCACAGCCCTGAATTTTTTTAAATTATATTATTCCTGATTGTTGTGTTGCTCAGTATCACATGCATTTGATTTAGCTAGACAATGGTTCAAGGACAATGCTTGTAAATGGGACAAAATTGATTTGAAAATAGATTCTATCAATTGCTGTGTCATTGAAATGACCTTGACTCAACACTGATGGTTGAGAGTGGTGGACTTTTTCATATGCTGTGGAAAAGAAGCATTGTTAACAGAGCAAGTATTTAAATGAAGGAGTTGAGATTTAAGCCATAGACCAGAGATTTCATTTCATTTCTCTGACAAAATTAGTAGCATCACACCAATTAACACCTCAGCTGAGAAACATATGACAACTTTGAGCACAATCTCTGCTGCAGAACACTCAGAAAAGTCAAATTTGTGTATATAAATAGACTCAGCATCATAATGTGCCACTTCCATGACGTCTGCTGCAAAGCAGTGTGTGTTCTCAAATGGAAATTAAGTGTCACAAGTGCTAAAAATCACATTTACAGAGAACGCCTGTAGAAATACATAGCTTGTGTCCCAAATGTCCACTGACCACCAGTTTAGACGACAAATAGTAACCATCTAATGCCACACTACACTAGAGCTTAGCAACGCCCTTTCCAGCTGTTAGGCCCAATACATACACGATGCTCCCATCTCATTGCAAAAGGTGCTGTCAGTAAAGCATCTGCTAGTGTCTGAACCAGCTGTGAAATGGATTAGCTTGTTTTTTGTCACAGATCAAAGCTGCTTCTTATTCCTCTGAGTCACACGTTTCCTCAGTTTCACCCCACATCAGAGGAGATGCTTAGAACAGTAAGGTGAATAAACACAAAAATAAATCACATTTTCAAAATAATATCACAGTTGATCCAATCACCTCCTGTGGTGTTTGTGAATGTGGCTAGCAGCTGTGGAAAGAAACTACACACCCAAGTATTGTACAAATTTGAGGTACTTTATGGTACTTTACACATCTGCTTCACTACATTTCAGAGGGAAATATGAATTCTTTTTCACTACATTTATATGGCGGCTGTAGCTGCCTAATTACCTTCCAGATTAAGGTTTTTATAAGGAAAAATAGACGCACACAGCTGGAACTAACAGTTATTTTATGATCAATTACTGGTTTGGTCCATAAAATGTCAGAAAAGTTTTATTTTATATGTTATGTTTTTTATTGCTGCACCGACTGGAGGTCACTCATTTCGTTGTACGTGTTAAAATGACAATAAAGGATTACCTCATGTGTCTTATCTTATTGTACTACCAACAGTCAAAAACACAAAAGTTATGTAGCGTTATATACTATAACTACATATGTACTTCTGTGAAGAAGGACCCAAAGCAAGCACCGGATAAAATAAAGGAGTTATACCCCCCAGGGGAGCTTGGGAGAGCCCTCGAACAAATGACAATGAGCATGGAGTGTTTGTGTGGCAAGATTTGTAAGAACGAGAGCAGCCTAAAGATCCACCAGCTGAGGATGACATGCAAGCACCACAATGTCTAGCACCTGGTGAGACAGGGGAGGAGCCGGGCCCAAAGCACAGTGCACACCGTGTCTGTGCTCAGGCAGTTGGAAACGACAAGGATCAGGTGGCCTCACACCTGCAAAACAAATGGCCGGCAGAAGTTTGACAGAGCTTCAGGAAACATCAGCCAAAGGGGATGTGAAGAGGAGGTTATAGACTAGGACGGCCATCATAGTGAGTATGGCTGCTGAGAGATGTGGCGGTGAGGAGGAAAGGGATAAGAAACCTTACTGGATTAAAGATTGATGAGGTGAGCGTGCTCAGTGTGCAGTAGCAAGTAGACAGCTCTGACAGGAGGCTGTACATGCTCAATAACCTGGATGCCTCCAGAGCTCTGGTGGCCATCTGGATCTCACAGACGCACTCACATTAAGACTGTCATGGCATGAACAGCTGCCTGTTTCCTGCTGTAATGCCACAGATACAGATGTGGATTGTTACTGAAAGGTTTCCAACAGACAGTCTATCTCCTGGTTGCCCAAATGTTGCCCCCCTGAACAACAGGAAGCAGTGGCTAACAATGCACAGCTATGGCTTTTTTGACCACATGAACTATTGTTCAGTCATGCTATTGTAAAGCTGTGAGAGTGACAGAGAAAGCAGGCAAAAAGCCGACTGCCTTGTGCTTGATGCCTGATCACACAGTCTGATAAATCGCCTGACTGATAATATTATGCGAATGCTTGGTCTATTGTGCGTACTCAATTTTACACCTCTTCAGAAAGATGCCAAATGGAACTGGGATCTGCTGCT